TTTTCTAATAAAGACAATTCTAAGTTCTGCGATGTTTATGCAGTCATAAAATACAACACTTTGTTGTTTTCTTTAGGGAAATGAAGCCATCTCTTAACTTTGAGTTATCAAAATCCTTGCAAAACCCCATACAAAATAAAAAACTCAGGAAGAAATTGAACGGTTGAGTAGATTCATTTGGAACAAAGATAAACTTCACTTTTTTTGTCATAAGATGTTCATAAGTCCACATTCAAAGGTCACATATATAGGATGAATCATCTCAACTCTTCTGAGCTACCCTTCGTTTCATCTTAAATTATCACTTAAAGTTCACATAAAATGTACTTGAATAATTGTGAAACACTGGTCTTCCGGACTGTTTCTAAAGAAATACGTAAAATGTTCATGACCTTTCTTATTCCAATGTTAAACAGTAAAAGAATGTTACTTTTCTCAAATTACAAGCACACTGGTCTAACCTCTGCCAGGTGATTTTTTTTAATCCTCAGGGTTTAGTCTGAGCATTTGCTGCACAATCCACCCTCTACTCTATGCCTTCTACCTTTTTCCTTTGAGCAACTGAGCAGAAAACAACACCTTCTCTGCAAATATGGGGGACTATAAAATGGGAAAAAATTGGAGTCACAGATTGAATTTGACCTCCTGCCTGTGCCATTTTAAAGACATGCATGAGAAACCTGCAAGAATAAAACTTGTTCACATGAATTAGATATTTCTAGACATGGTGACACTGAAAAACACACATCTGCAATTAAGATTACCAACTGTTAAATATTTAAGTTAAATATGAGGACATATGACAGGGTACAAGTAATAATTTTCTCAGATTTTAACTCAGGTTCTGTAACAAAGTATTTGTGATTCCTCATTGTATGTGAAAAGAATTCATTTTATTGGGTTCAATTTGTAACTTTTTGGGGTTTGTGGCTACAGACCTCGTTCTTCTATCTTTATTACAATTTATTTGCGGCGATATCCTTTGAAGGTGGAGCCACTCGCTGGACTGATTTCCTCAAGTTAGGCTCATGGGCTAATCAAGTCACAGCATACAAAGACCAGCTGGACCTCGGTTGCTGCCAGATTGCCCATCTCTTGCTACAGCAACCTGGTCCTCCTAATTTCTTATTTCTATATGAACTTGTTCCCCTTGTGTTTTACTAGCACTTTCTTGAGATTTACCTCCAGTCAGCATAAAAGCTGTTCCCCTATCATCTGATTGTGTCCTGGTTTGAACTACTAACTGGAAATCCCTGCAATGCCCATGAGTCCTGCACTAGTCTTGTCTGTGTCTGTGGCTGTGTCTCCTTCTTACCCCAACTTACCTGCCTTTTGGTTCAGTAGTAGACTGCAAGATCAGTAAGTATTTAGAACATCAACAACGATTAACTTACCTCAAACACAGAAAATATCGATGTTAGATTTGATACTTTTAACAATTTTATTAAATATTGTCACTGTTCACTATTATAACAATGGGTTTTTTGTCTTACCAGGTGGTGTTCCACAACTAGCCATTCTCTACAAAAAAAAACAAACAAACAAAAAACAAACAAACAAAAACAAACATTTCCAACAGATATTTCCCAGAAGAACAAGCAGAAATAGTCAATTAGAAAAGTAAACTCTAAGTATTTAGAGGCAATTTCAAAATGATCTCACACGTGAAACCTTTGAAAGCATCACAAAGTGCACTCAGGGTACATACTGTAAAGTCTGAAACCTTTTGTGTGAAATTCTTAAAATATATGAAAATACAAGTCTTTCAATTGATCCAGTCTTAAGTGAGAAAAGTGTTTTTAGATCCTTTCTGTGAACCTGTTAATGTGTGACTAAGGTGATTAAGCTATGTTTATTTTCTTTAGAATCTCTGTCATCTATCTTTGAACTCGTTATGAACTCGTTATGATTGAGAGAAAAGTGGTACTTGCCGAATTCAACGCAATCCTCAGGTTTTCGACTTTGTTAGCAGACGTTTTCTTTTTGTTTTTGTTCAGTATTTGTTTCCCTTCATGTGGATTGACTTAGATTTTCAGGTTTCAAAAATATGTTTTGAAATGTGAACTTACAGAGAAAACCGGAATCCCAGATAGATGGCATGGTAATTACCATCATTATGGAAATCAGGAACTTATTAGTATTTTGTGCCAGCTGTCTTCGGGTGAGGAAAGAAATTATTTTTGATGCTGCCATTCCTATGAAGACTTTATTTATTTTATTTTTTTTTTATTTTCAACATGGAACAATAGAAACAAGAATACAGCAGAAGGTTTGTTTCATCGTCAGGGAAAGCTGTGTGATATTTAGCAGGAGCAGTTATGGAATTAATTAACATTTGGGTGTTCCATTCTTAGCAGTGAAATTACAAATCACATGGTCAAGTCAACATTCAGATTCTTGACAGATCTCTGCTTGTGTGATCTAAAAGCATGAAGCAGAATAATGAGACATAGTACGACCTGCTACTCAATGAGAGAGCCTCTTTCTCATAAAAAGGTCACGTCTCAGACTTAAAAAGTAAACAACCAAGATATTAAACTCTGCTATGATATACATTCACAGTCTAGACACATTTTATTGGAAAATGCTTCAGGCTCTAGATACCATGAATTTATACTGCATGTGAATTGTCCTTTGTGTACAGTTTTATATTCAATATACTGTCAGGTTCTGGGCATTTCTTTTAAGAAAAGTGTCTCTCCCCTTCGGCTCCCCATCGGGGAGTGGCCTGGAGTGGAGCTGCACGCCTGAAGCTTGATGGATCATCAGTCAAGAGAGGATTTAAGGAGCTACCAGACCTCTCCTCTCCACCAGATGATTATTCCTTCAAGGTAGTCTCTAGCTCGTTAAGCCTTCTACAGAAACGTTAGCATTATTGACTTTCTCAAGAAAACCTCTGCTTGTTGTCAGCCCTCCTCAGGGAAAGACTTGTTCCCTGTCTTTCATTTCCAGGAATTGGTCTACTTCCATTGGCAAATCTGCCTGCAGCTCTCAGAACTTCACCGGCCTGCCCGCTCCAGCCCACTGGTCGGTCCCCCCTCCCTCCCATCGGAAGACGTAAGCTGATTACTCCCATTTACCCATCAAACTTTTGTCCACCTCTGGCCAAATCATTCACCTGTTCTCTCCGCTTCCAGGGTAGACTCGGACCTATACCTACGGATCACTTGCAAAACATTGTGATAGTTTTTTCTAATAGTTACTCACCAGTAGTCTCCGGGCCTGATTCTGCATGTGGGTTAGAAGTCTACCATTAATCATGACAGATACAACACTAAAAAAATGTAATGCACTGAACAGAGAATATCTGCTTATAGAAGGAACTTTTTTTTTACTTTTTTATATTCACATGTTTGATTAACGGCAATTTGGCAATTATGTATGTATTATCACATAACATTACTTGGCCAGCATCAAAATGAATACCACAATTGTTTGTTTTAAAGATGAGTCTTTCTGCCTAAGGACATTTTTTAGGGAAAAATGTTACGTGTGAAACTTGATATTTTTTTTCTAGCAATCAGAACTAAATTCACACATGCTTATACATTGCTGGGTAAAACGGTATGCTTTTGAAATCCAATCTTTTGTTGACCTCTGTTTTCTAAAGTTGAACACTAAATTTGGAGAAAATAATGGCAGTCTGAATAGTTATCTTTGACAGGTAGTCCCAGTTAATCTTTTGTTCCTTTGTTTCCTTTTGTTTGGTATGTGGAGATTTTTTTTTTTTTTTTTTAATTCTGTTTTGTGTTTTGTTTCTGGTTTGTTCTATTTGCTAGTTTTTGTGTGTCAATTTTGCAGATCTCTGTTAGCTCCTGTTTTGTCTTCAGTTTTTTTTCCAGCCTGCCATAGTCCTGCTGCCCGCACAGTTGTCATGTATCCAATAAATTGATTCCCACCTGTATCTTATCCCAATAGTCACTTCCTTCAGTATTTAGTTCATTCAGTACTTTTTAAATCCTTTAGTCATTCTCCATGTCTCTGGGGCTGGTTCTTTGCATTTGCCTCATTTGGGTCTTGTTTCTGCCTTGAACTCAGTTTTATAAGTTTTCATTACCAACAGTAGGGTGGACATTAATGACACTTAATTCTTTTGATTAGCATTTTGGCAGGTTTACTAAGTCTGAAAACATTTAGGACTCTTAGCTTCCCCTAAGTGACTTTTTGTGCATAAATTCTAAAGCACAAATTTAATTGGCTGTTTTCTAAAGTTCAACATCTGTGCTGATGTTCTATTGAGAAAACTTCAAGTGAATGTTTATATTCATGCTCTGATTTTGAAGGGGGTGACAATTGTTTACACTGTAAATACATTTCTGTTCTGCTCTTTCCTCAAATTCACTTTTTTTATACCCCCCAAAAATTTATTTCAACCAAGAAATGTACAGTAAACAAACTAAAAGATGGTTGGGAGAGAACAAGATATGAACATAAATAAAATATCGATGTACAACTACAACCTGTAGTTCAACAGTAATCATTTATGTCCTGCCTGCTTTCTGATTGAAGAGCTGCCATATTCAATTAGATAAAATCAGCAACAGAGTTAGCAGTACCCAACAGCCATGAAACTGCTCAAAGTCAGTCTTCAAGTGCCAGTAAACCACGTGTTTTACTGCCATGGCACAGAGCATGTCAATGCAGAGGCCTGCTAACGAACAATCATTTGATCCAGGTGTGTGTTGTGCCGTTGAGAAAACTAAAACATGCTCTCGACTGACTTTGGACGTCCTTGTGTAGACGGTATACATATTTACATATTTCTTGAACAAATATTGAAAAGTAACTTAACAGCTAACGCATATCTATGACTTTCTTTGGATGTTAGGCAATTCCACCTTCACCCTTTGCCTACACTTTGCCATTTCAATGTTTCCGACTTTTTCACCGTAAGCTAAATAAACCTGACACTTGCGCTGCAGGTGTGAAATGTCAACCGCCCCTGATGTGGCCAGATCAGTGAGCAGACTCTCTTGTCTGTCTCTCGTTTCACCATGGACGGATATATGGAGCGGATGAGCTCGGCTCTGATTGGCCGTGCAGGGACGCGCTCCCAGAAGGCGCATCAGCCGCTCTCCTCTTGTCATTTCTGCTCGTACGACTCACATGCCCGTGAACGCCACTGGGCTCAGTGCGCGCATCTCTGCTCCAACTTCAAACCGGTCTCGTCAGCTTGCTGAAAAGCAGACGGCTTTCACGATGGATGCTTCTGTTTATGATATCATACTGGGAGAGCTCGAGGAGCTGAACTGTAGTTTGATAGAGCATTTTCAAGACACTTTTTATGAAAACGCTTCATTGGCTTTGCTGAGCGCTGATGGTAAGATGGATTTGTTTTTTCTTTTTTCTTTTCTTCAGATTTCTCTTGTGTTGTTGCACCTTGAAAATAGCTAACAGTTTCATTTACTTGTTTTGTATATGTTGCCCTTTCCTAAGGTTTATATTGCAATGTCACTACTGATGAGATTGGAACCTGCTGGCCGCGGAGTAGCACTGGCAGGATTGTGGAGAGACCGTGCCCTGCTTACATCAACGGAGTAAAGTACAACACAACGAGTAAGATATTTCAATAACGGCAAAAGTTTGATTCCATATATCGAAGGCAAAACATTGTTTATTTATTAAAAATAATTTACAAAATAAAAGTGGGCTTTTTTTTAAAAGCGATGATCAATTTATATAAAAATAGGTCTGGAGTAAATGCTGATAATTGTCAAACGTTCTGATTTAAATGTAACGGGATCCACCAGTTTATTGATTTACCATTGGCTCTTTTTCGAAATTTTTCATTTTTTGTAGGTTCATTTAACAAAGACCTTTTCTTGCTTCACTGGCCCTCCTTCTGTTCTGATGTAAAGCACCACTGACAGTAACCTATTACACCTGCTGTTGAAACAGCTACTTGAAAGATTTTTTTTTTTCGTGCAACTTTAAAGGACAATTCTTGATAAAAACAAGAAAGTTAATTGTAAATCCCAATTTCTCAAAGTGCAAAAGTATTTATACCTCTTGTCACATTTTGTCATGTTACAGCTCTAAATTTCAGCACTTTTCATTGGGTCCATCATAACCCCCCCCCCAAAAAAAAAAAAAAAAAAAAAAATTAAAAAAAGAAAAAAAATAATTTTTGTTTT